CAAACTGACAACAAGCTAGCTGGTTGCTGGCTGGGGGAATACCAGTCTCCGTATCCAAGCTCAGTTAACTTAACGGCTGTGCGTTTTGTTTTTCTTGTTGTCTGTTTGGAGTCCGTTTTTAGTCCAGTTCCAAATTGCCAACGTCGTTGGCTCTGTCTCCGTCTCCGTCTCTGTCGTGTGCTTGGTCAAGCCTCGACTCGCCTCTCGCTCTTGCTCTCCAATAAGAAGAAATAATCCAACTGAATCTGGGAAGACAAGTTTTTTGTTGTTGAAAGCTTGCAGCAGAGCTTTAAGCTTTGCTTTGTCTCTCACTCACTCCACTTGAACATACTCAAGCGTTACTTCGGTCGGCTTTGACTTCGTTACGATTTGAGCCTTCTAGCTACGTTTTTTTTTTTTTTGAATCGGGTTTTAATTTTTTGGTGTTGCTGATTAGCATTCACATCTATGTGTTTGCGCCTGTGTATGTATGGGTGTAAGTAGCAGAAGATATCGGCGCGTCGATCGATCGCCAACATTTCGAAACAACAACAAATAGTTTTTTTTTTTTGTATATGAATTTTATTTAAGTTTAAACTTTCAAGTCAATAGAAAAAAAAACACAAATGCCGACTTAATTGGGAAACAAACAAGTCCATAAGCTCGAACCAGTTATCAACGCAATTAGTCTGCATTGACGCAAATTTGGTAAATACATTTATTATCATTTGGAACATTTTATTGAAAACTCTAAACTTCAAACAAAGTCATTTAGATAGTCTTCATCTTTCAGTTTGAATACTTAATAGGCTGTTTTAAATCCGTCTTGAGGGGCTTTAACTGGGCCATGTTCGATTGCTCTCAATGTCGGTCACAGACCAAAGCTGAGGAATTCATAAATAAGATATTTAAGGTCTAAATACAATCGAATGTTTTAAATATAAACGAACATATTACATTCGGTTTAAAACGCAACATACTTTTTATGTTTAGTTGAAATACAAATATTGTTTAAACAATTTGTAGCTTTGTTTTAAATGAATTCATCCGGTTTATTTGAAACTGGTTTTTCTTTAAATTCTAAATACACGCTTACCCGTTTTTAATTAAAATTAATACAAGAACCTTCGCACGATCATTAAAAAAAATACAAAAAAAAAAAAAAACAAATTGAAAGCTGAGTTGTGCTTTTTCTCCCTCCTCCTCTCTTCCCGCTCTCTTTCTCTTTGGTTTAAGTTTTAAAGAGTTGTTTGTCGATTTAATGCGGTAACTTTTTTTTACTTTGTTTTTTGTTTTTTAATTAATAGATAAGAACGTGCACATAAAAAAACCAACCCACACATACGCACAGAGCCAAAAAGCACGCATTTCTTATCTTATCAAAATGAAATGAAACCAAGTTTTATGCCCATTCACGGTCAATGTTTTTTAATTTGATTACAATTTTGGCTTCTTCTTGAATATGTCACTGAGCGAGCAAGAGAGAAGGCAGGAAAAACGCATTTCCGTTGAACTTTTTGTTGTTAAAAAGCAACAAATTATGCAACCATCGCTTTGTTTTATAAATCGGTCATTGAACGTTTATTTGACGAGTTCGGGTGTTTTGCTGTTGTTGTTGTTGTTGTTGTCGTTGGTTTACCCGTTCAGCAAGATCTTCCAGGTGACGCTTATAATTCGATTGGTTCGCTGTTTGGAGGGCAAATTGTGAGTGAGTCCGTTCAGGGCACAGTTCATTGTACGCGTTCGCTTTGTGCTTGATTTTCTCTCTCCCTCTCTATCTCTCTCTCTCTCTATGCACGTATCGTGCTCTTTTGTTAGAAAAATTACTCTTTAACTGCCTTGGCCTTGAAATTTAGGTGGTATTCAAAGAATTCATTGGTAAATAATTGCAAATATCAAACAAACCTAATTCCTATAAAAAAGTTCGTATACATGAAATTTATTTCAATCTTCCAACTCATAACACAAATTATTCTAATTGCTCATATAATTAAAGAATCGATATCGTGAAGTCGATGACGTTGAAGCGAACTTCTCGCAAACTGTTTATATTTATGGGAATCACATTTCCAGAGGCGCGCATTCTGTTTAGAGTTATGACTCATAGGTAATTCCGAATACATTTGAAATAAGTAATAATCGGCATAACTGTGTCTATGCCCTATTGGAAGTAGGTTGAAGAGGATTTTGTAAAGTTTTGCAGTCGGCATCAACAGCCGAGTTCATCCAGCTAGAGCTTAAAGAGCCAGAGACTTGGAATTCGGAATATAGGTTTAGGTTCTTCCATTAAAACGAGGTTATTTTAAGTAGTCGAAACGATGCAGGGTATATTATTCTCGGACATCGATGTTCACGAGCGAAGCCATTTCGAAATATCGTTGCAATCTTTATATTGGCTGTAAAGCGATTTATCGACGATTCCCCAATACCCGCCTGTTGCAAGCTCGCAGGGCATCGTTTAACGCCTTTCTCAACATGAAAATAAATAAATGTGTATTTTCACACTGTGATGCCTGTGCCATGAGTCACATTTTGTTATAATGCTTTTGTTGTTGTTGTTGTTATTTCTACTCTAAAAATAGCAAAAGTGTTGAATATACGAAATTCAAAATATTGCCATAACATATAGTCAGGCATATACATACATAGCTATACATACACATATATATATGTATGTGTGTCTGCTCTCGCTGCCTGTTTTTGTTGTTGTTACTGTTAATGCATCGTGTACAACGTGTGCATGATGGCAATTTGGGATTCCCGTGTGGCCAATTACCCTCAAAGAGAGAGGGAGCGTGGAGAGTCGCGTCGGCTGCCTTTTATTGTTGCTGCGACAATTGATTATTTATTTTATACACACACGCACACAATCAAGCGCGAGAGACTTGCACTCCTCAGCGCCCTCTTTTTATCGTGTAAAGTAATTTTTTTTTGTCGCATTTCCACTGGAATTTTGGTTTGCCGTTTTGTGGCTGCGCTGCCCGCTACAACAGTTTTGAACATCTGTTTACAGTTGGGCTTTGTTTTGTTGCTGTGCAGCGTTTATAAAGTGTACATTTTATATGTTTTGCACGTATTTGAGCACACACAAACACCTTTATTTGCATAAATTTGTACGTATATTGTGCGTATGATTGTCTTTCAGAGTTGCATGCGTTTTGTTAACGTTTTTAATCCATTTGTTTGTTGTTATAATTTTTTTGGTTCTGCCTATTTATCGATTCAACTGTATTTCGATCGATTTGGCGAAGGTGGCAACGCTGCCGGTGCGCAGATAGCCGCCGCATTTAGTGCTAGTGTCTCTTTCTCCCTCTCATTTGACATTGTTATCAATGTTTTTGTTGCCATAAAGAAGCGCAGCACAAAGCAAAAACTGTCCGCACAGCTGTCAGCTGCACGGGTGCGTTGCCTGTGTGTGTATGTGCGCATTTACTCATACACATTACACATACATCTGTATCTGTATGTATTATTATATATGTATATATATATTTGTTGAACTTGTGAGATTTTTCCTACCGCCCTTTTCTCGAGCATTCCGTTGCACACGTTCACGTTCACACGTTTTTCATAGGTTTCCTGCATATCATTCTTTTCGGTGGTTGTTGCTCCTGTTCTGCTGTGAAGCCTGCGGCCAGCTGTTGGCTGCTTGAAGTCCTCACACAAAACAAACACATACAAATACACAGACACCGACAGGCACATTGCGTCTCCTCCGTTTTGCTGTCTCGTGTCGTTGTCGTCACGCGCAGTGCATTGGCCTTTCGCTCACAAGGGCTCTCAATGCTATTTAAGCGGCGTTCCTCCGAATGGCCGTTTTAACAAATGGCCGCCGACATCGTCGCGCGCTTCAAACTTGAAATTGTATTATTATTGTTGTTGCTCTTTAGGTTTTGGGTTTTTTATTCGGCTAATTTGTTTAACGTTGGCTGCAAATTTGCTGTTATTGGAACCGAGAAACACTCACATACACACACACACACACACACGCCAACAAATCAGGGGCAACAATATTTTTGTTTGTATAAATGAACTTCAAGTTGTTACCTTGGTGCAAATCTTTTCTTTGTGAATGTGCCTCTTGTGTTTTTATGAGCTTTTAAAGTTTTGCGAATTAGCCATTAAACTTATCCTGTTTAACTCAACTATATACATACATACGTACTTATTATCCAATGATCACCAGGACGGATATATGCGAGACAGAGATCGACATAGTTTACCTGAATTTTATGACTTTGTTTTGCTGTCACTTTGACAGCTGCGGCGACCTGCCCGCCAGATTTGCTTCCTGCTGGTTGTAAAAACCCGGCAAGAGAACATCAGGTGTGCTCTTGCCTACTTACATTGCATATTCTTCAAATGTAAAACACATTTCCATGTACATAAATACAAATGATGTATGTATGTATATTTGTCAGTGTATTATAGCTAAATTCCTAGCACAAAAACAAACAGAGATAAGCCCACCCCACCACACGGGCCAACCTAGCTGCGTTGAAAAGACAAAAAGCAGGCACGACGAGACGCGAACGAACGAGCACAAGACTAAAATACTAACACGACAACATACATAGAGATGGCTATATGTACATCCAATCATATACACAAGCGCATCGGCAAAGATCTCTGGCTACGGTAAATCTACCTGAAAGCGGAAAATTTTCGTATGCAAAAATGTCAAAAGTGAACAAAAATTAACAACACTAACATGGAGAAAAATTGACATTCGGGTGTCCGGCTCGTGCGCTCTTTGTACTCGCTTTGTGCTCTCTTTGCGTGAAGAGAGTCGCTTAAGAGAACTCGTGTGTAGCGTAACGGTGTGCAACGTAAACATAAAACAGCTGTGCTTCACGTAAGGAAAACGTATGATCGCGTGCGCGTAACGTACACAAACACAATTGAACAAAAACATAACTCAACAACGGCTCTCAACGGTGGGAAGCGGAAAGGCAAATGAATTAAAGCAATCGAAGAGAAACCAGTGCAACCTATTTTTAACATAACTTATCCTTTTAAAGTGTAGAGTGAAACTAAAAGCAAATGCGTAATATAAATTAAAAGCAACAAATCAGAAATTGAGGAGAGCACAACTACAATACAACAACCACCAGCAACAACTATAAAAAACAACGCATCAATTATTTATCAAGCTGCAGCAACAAAAACTAAGTATGCAAAAATACTTGTAAATTGTAAAAGTGATTCTGACTTAAATTGGACACTATTTTTATAGAACAACCATCAGCCAGCGGTAGCAACAATATTAACAACAATAAAGTCATCGTCCGATTGAGTAGCACCAGAAAACCCCCGCACTTGCTATCGATTGCGCGTCAAACCGATATATACACAGTTTTCAACACTGTTCGGCCGAACAGCGAGCACAGCTGATTGTGCCTGGTTGGCTGTTGTGTTTTTTGGGTGAGCGCGGGGCACTGAAAGGTTTTCTGCGTGCCGAGCGACCGAGAAATAACAGTATAACAACAGCATCAGCTACTACTGTGTGTGACGTGGTGGAAATACAACAACAAGACACACACGACCACATCGTGCAGGTGGCAGTTTAGAACAGCTGTTTCAACACATCAAAACTAAAAAAAGCCACTGAAATCTACAAAACGCTGTCGACTGTTAAATGTAAATACATTCACATAAACATACCTATTGTAAGTACATTAGTATTTGCGTCTTCTTGTGCTTTATTTCAATTCGTTTAAATATTTTGTTTTCATATTGTTGTGACGCGTGCCCCCACGCCTGTAGCTTTTCCAACAGTGGTGAGATAATTACACACTCGTATACATTCAACAAAAATAACAACAAGAACCAAGTAAGCTAAAGTTTTTAATTTTGCTAAGACGTGCAACGGGCCGCAAGCTATTTCAGATAGACAGACATACCCACACATTAAAACGAAAAAACCGTGTATAAGTAAATGTTCGAAGATAAGCGTATGTTGTTGCTTTTGAACAAAAAACGTAAGGTCTCCACGCATAACACGCTCTCTAAGAGTGGTTGAAAGAGAGGAAGAAACGCATAGCGAAAGAGAGTCACCAATACGAATAACGGACTGGCCAACGGCCAGCGGCAGAGTGCCAAGTGCGCACATTAAATTGCAAACTTGTTTTTCATTTTTGCTCTGCGCTTCACTTCCATAATAACTATATTACAACAACAACAACAACAAATGATTGTCAGCAGTAGTAGTAGCAAGTGATACAAGGCACGTACGTATTTCAAACGAAACATCGAGACGTTGTTTGGTCGCTGATTTTCAAGACGAAGCGGAGCGAGTGAGCGTGCGAGAGTAAAGCGAAAGAGCGCCAAACTGATCGCGCGTATACTCAGTGCATGTGTGTGCGAGAGACACGACGACTTTTGCCGTTGATCTACTCCGTCGCGTCACACACTCGTCGACTTCGCTGTCTTAGCATTGTCAACGGGGCGGTGGTGAGCGGTGTAATAATAAACGAGTGCACAGCAGCAGCAGCAAAGCAGCAACGGCAACGGCAACCACTTGAAAGCAACTCGTTTCGATTTCATTTAGCAGATACCTTTTGTACGTTGATTAAGATACCTTGGACACACAGACACGAGCAAATTTTATGTGAAAAAGGAAATAAAATGCAATTTTACAATTAATTTGTAAGCAAAACAAAATATAACGCGTGAAAAATACGTTAACTTGACAAATTCCAGTGCCGCCATACATATGTGTTAAAATAACGCAGCAAATTCCCAAGCAAAACAGTCTTGAGTAAAAGTGTTGGCGTAAAAACCCATAATACATGCATATGTATGCATACATATATACTCACGCACACAAAAGTAAATGAAAAAACAAAAAAATAAGTGTTAAAAGGCATTAAAAAGTTAACAATACTTCGAGTGCCTGAACTCTGTGCCTACAATTTCGAATCTGATAGTGCTAGTGTATGCGTGTGCAAAGAAAGAGATATTCACACATATGTATATGCAGCTAATATAGAAGTGGACAAAAAATATAATAAGCAGCAAAAAAAAATTTATATATATATATAAAAAAATCAACGTACAAACACAGATGATTTTTAGCAAAAAATAAAAAAGCGAAAAGAAAAAAGATCAAGCAGCAGCAACAACAACAACAGTGAGTGGTGAAGCCAATCAAAACAGCAGTTGTCCCGCTTTAGCACGCTGTGATCGACGAGAGCGCGAGAGCAGAGCCAACAAACCAGCGAGCACACACACTACCAAAAGCAGTCAAGCGACGTGTGTCCATATCGGTGTATGTGTGTGCATGTGTGTGCGAACAGCATTGATTGCTCGCTCTGCTGTCTTTGATTTTGCTTATGGCTGCCGCCCGACTCACACATACATATTGACAACTTGAGCACCTGGCGCAGGAGTCACACTTTCAACTGAAGCAACCAAAAGTTACAACAGCCATTCGCACGCCTTACACACCGACATGTCAAAGCAGCAACAACAATTGTGACAGCAACAACAACAACTGCAATGCATACATGCCTACCTTAACCCAATTAAAATACATACCATATTATTTAACAAAAGAAATTGTGTTATTTGCAAGTGGCACACAAAGAGAGCAGCAACAACGTGGTGTGCAAATATGAACTAGACTTGACGAAAGTAGAGAGGCAAAGAGAGTGAGAAATGAGACCTATGTATACGGAAGTGAAATTCTCAAGCAACAACAAAAATATTAAGAGTTGTGCGTGTATTTGTATTCGTGCCTGCATTTCAAATCAAAAATTGAAAAAAAGAAAGAAAAGAAACGCAACGACAATAGCAACAGTAACAGCAGCAGCAGCAGCAGCAGCAGCAAGTTTGCAGCGCAGCTCAAAACTCTCAGGAGAGCGAGCCCAGTGCACACATGCGCATGCATGCAGTAGTATGTATTAATGTGTGAGTGTGTGGTGTTATTTTTTTTGTGAAGCTATGCATTTACCTCGGTTCACGTCTTAGCAACAACGTAAATTTTACTTGCGATTACAACATACTAAAGAAAAACATTATTAAATTGCACAGAAACTAAAACAACAATCAGTTGCCATTGGCCCCCAGGCTTCTACGTCACATTCGAGATCAGGAGTGGTGCCAGCAGCGACGCATTCAACATTATCTTGCAACAGCTCTAATCAAAGCGTGTTCGGCAACAAAGAACACAACTACAACAACTTCCAGTTACCGTTGCTTCCATCATAAGCTTCTTCCGCGCAAAAAAACAAAAAAAACCCTTTAATTTATTGTTCAACACTGGCGCGCTAGCCAAAAACTAACATTTGCCATTTGCCACGCAAACGTCACAGCGACTAAGCAGCTAACTTAACAGCAAATACAACGCGTAGTTCAAGTAATTAACGAAAACAAAATACAAAAAAAAAAATCAAATTATCATTGTGATCATCATCATCATCAACAAAAACTTTTGAGGGGGGCGGACACGTTATGAGCAATTCGATTGCATCAACAAAATGCCTGCCCAATGTCTCGCTCTCGTCCGGAAATTATGGTATGTCACAAAGCCACCGTTACACCGATGATAGAAAGGAGTACATATTCCTTAAGCTTACCGACTCTGCCTTCCGTGCCATCGAGGAATATCAAAGAAACGAGAATGCCAAACGCCTGGCGCCCGGTCAGTGCGCAAAAATCCAATGCAATGGCAACACTGGCGTCATACACTTCCCGCTGCCAAGCAGCGATAACAATTCTGTTAATAACGGCAGCGGCAGCGGGATGGAAAGCGGACGTAAATTTGGCTTCACCATTGACGAACTGGAGGGCACATTGGAGTGCATACAGCAGCAGCATCAGGAACTTGATGTCCTTGGTGCACTGGCGCGACGAATGCGAATTCATGCCAACGATGATGTCTACGATACGACGCGAACCAAAATGGCTCGGGCCGAGGAGACGGAGAAAAGTAAATGTATACGCGAGATCAAGCCAAATCAATCGGATATTGGGCGTAAGGTGAAGAAGCCGGCCTCGGCATCATCACATCACAGTGGGAACAACAACAACAACAGCAACAATAGCAACAGCAACAGCAGCAATAGTTTTAACAGTAACAATAGTCGTAAGTTAGTTTCATCGCCATTTAATGGCCTGACGTCATCATCAGTTGCAGCAGCAACAGCAATCACAGTCGCCTCACGCTCGCCCAATCCCAACACGTTGGGTGCCAGCGGCACAGTCAATGGCAGCCGCAGCACAGCCCTGGCCAACACATTCGCCAACGGTATCTCACAGGGCTATGCGCTAAGCGGCAGCTCGCCCCGAGAGAACAGCACAACAGCAACTATTGCGGGCACAGCAGCAGCAGCAGTTGGATCATTCAACAGCAGCAGCAGCAACAGTAACAGTAACAGCAACAGCAACAGCAATGGACGCAATAAAATGCTCAACGGCAGCGGCAACAACTCGCGCAGTGGCAATGCCAAATCGGGTGGTGCAGGCGGCGGCGGCGGAGGTGGGGCAGGTGGAGGTAATGGCAACAAAATGTCTGATGTATCGCGGCGCAGCATTCGCGAGCGTTTAATACATTTGCTGGCATTGAAGCCCTTCAAGAAGCCGGAGCTGTATGCGCGCCTCAAGAACGAGGGCATCAAGGATCGGGAGCGCAATCTAATTGGCAATATACTCACGGATATAAGCACCATGTCTCATAATACGTTCAATTTGCGCCGCCAGATATGGAACGATGTCGACGAGAATTGGCCGTTCTTCAGCGAACAGGAGCTGCAGCAGCTAAAGCGTCGCAAGCCGCAGAATCTGACGCCGCCCATGAGCTCCGATGCGGGCAGCTCGACCTCCGGACAGAGTCCAACGTCCACCCATACGGGCAGCCCGCCGCCGTTGCTGCTGATGCCACCAAATGTGGGCCAGCAATCGTTGGGCAACCACAACGGCGGGCCCGGCAATGGCGGCAACAGCCTGAAGCGGAGCAGCATCGAGTACGATGAAATGTTCAGCACGGTTCATCCGAAGAAGCAGCGCATCAGTCATTACAACAGGGAATCGGGCGGCAGCAGCGGTCCACAGTTTACAGCCGCCCCCGCTGGCTGCCCCGTGGCCAACTCTGGTACGTCCTACCGCAGTCGAAGTGCTGCCTATACACCGCCGCAGCGGCAGCACCCGCAGCTGGATGAGCAGAGCAGCAACGACTTGACCTACAGTGTGCTGGACAACATGGACGAGTTCAGGAGCATGACAGCAGCAGCGGCTGTTGGTGAACAACAACAGCAACAACAGCAGCAGCAGCAGCAGCGCAGCAGCAGCAGCAGCAACAGTCGACGTGGCAGCGGCGGCTCCTCGAAGCAGAGCAGCAGCAGCAATGGCAACGGCAACGCGGACAAACGCAACTCGACGGGCAGCAACTCGAGCAGTTCCAGTGGCTATGAGACCCAGCTGGAGCGCAACAGTCGCCAGTCGGCGGCGCAGTCGACGGCGGCGGCGGCTGCGGCGGCACACAGTCGAAAATCCTCAACAACGCCGCCCAAATTAGCTGCCAGCTTTGTGCGTCAATCGGCGACACAGCAGCAACAGCAGCAGCAGCAACAACAACAGCAGCAGCAGCCGCAGCCACGCAGCAACTTCAGCAACAACAACAATGCGCACGATGAGTACAATTCATACAACAACAACACGCATGCCGCGTCCAATAGCAAAAAGCGCACGAGTAGCAGCAACAGCAACGGACAACGTCAGCGCAGCAACAACAACAGCAACAACAACAACCACGTCTATCAACAGCAGCAGCAGCAACAGTTGCAGGCACCAGTGCAGCAGCAGCAGCAGCACCAACAACCACAACAGCAGCAGCAGCAACAACAGCAGCAGCAGCAACAACAGCAGCAGCAGCAGCAGCAACAACCTTATCATAATCGCGAGTCGACAAGCAAAAGCGCAACTGGAAGCGGCGGCAATCAGACGACGACGGCCAAACATCCGTCGCCTACACAGCAGCTGGCAGCGGCTGCCCATGCGTACGCGGCGGCGACAGCGGATGCGGATGCGAATGCCACGCCCCGTTATGACTTCAGCCAATATGCGCCCATACGCACGCTGGAGGTGCGCAGGCGCTACAAGACTGAATTCGAGAGCGACTACGACGAGTATCGCAAATTGCTGACCAGCGTCGAGGATGTGCGCAACCGGTTCCAGGATCTCTCCAAGCGTCTGGAGGGCGCCAGGCGACGCGGCGGCGGCGACTACGATCAAATCAAGCGGCAAATTGTCAGCGAATACGAGCGCATCAACAGCGATCGCAGCATACACAAGGACAAGCTGAGATTTGATTACTTGCACGCCAAGCTGGCCCACATCAAGCAGCTGGTAATGGACTATGACAAGACTTTGATGAGTGCCACAGCAGCAACATCAGCAATGCCCGAGGCAACAGCAGCCGCAGCGGCAGCAGCAGCCCAAGCAGCGGCGGCGGCAGCAGCAGCTGAAGCCCAAGCAGCGGCGGCGGCAGCAGCGGCACGTTTGGCGGAAAGCAGCAACTGCAACAGCAACATGCAACAGCAGCAGCAGCAGCAGCAACATCATGCAGTGGAAACGATACAGCAACAGCAACATTTCATCAACAACAACAACAGCATCAACATCAGCAACAACCACGAGAGCGACTCGGATGACAGTTCCGGCAGCTCCGATTCCAATGATGATGATGATGACGATGAAGATTGCGATGATTCCAACTCCAACACTGACGATGACGAACCCTACTGAGAATAAATGAATCAAACAAAGCTACTTCTTGATAAAACGATAAACGAAACAACAACAAAACAAACAACAAAACAAACAACAAATAAACAAGCGGCGGCTGCAGTTGCAGTTGCAACCAATGTAAAAAGGCAAAAAAAGAAACTATTATACATAAATATATATTATTATATAAATATATATATATTACACACCTAATATAGTAAAAAGCAACACCAACAACAACAACAAAAACAACAAAAAACAAAGCGTTCTAAAAAAACACTTGTACTAAGATGAAAGTAAAAACAAAACAACAAAAAAATGTTAAAGTTATGTTAACAATTAAACACAAAACAAACGAAAGGAAGGAAGAAAAACTATTTGCAAAAAGCGGCGTAAAAAGCAAAATAAAAGCACGCATATATTTTATAAAAAGAAAAATAGAAAAAATCACAAAAAATCAATATTTTTTGTACACTTGAAAACTGAGTAAAAGGAAAATGTCAAGTTTTATATTTGTTTTTTATGCGTATTTTTTTTTTCCATTTTTAACGTTTCGTGTGTAATAATAATTAAAATATTATCAAGCAACTTTTTAAATATATACTTTTATATATATACATATAGAGAGCGTATGTTTCTTCATTTGAAAGCACTCGAGAAAAACTCTTTTTCTATTTAAATTGTTTCCTTTTTTTTGTTTAACAACAATCATTTGTTACAAACACACGCATTCTCTCATTATTATAATTATTATTTCTTGTTTTTCTTTTTTTTTTGTCGTTTTTATATATATATACTGCTTGAGTATATAATTTCCTACGACCCATCCCATATCCCATATTCCCCATGCACTCTGATATATATTATACCGGGAACAACAATAATAACATATGATTTTATGCACGCACAGTGTGCCAAGAACAATTTGTTTTTGTGTTGCGCCTGTGCAGCTCTGGCAATACATATACACACACACACACACACACAGATTCACACACACACACACACATCTTTATATATATATATATTCTTGTTGTGGTGTTGCATGCGGGCGTGCCTCTTTAACAATAGACTGAACTTTTAAACGGCTTGTTAATTTTTGCCTAATTGTAGCAGCTTGTGTAGAAAAATTTCATTTAATTTTTAGTTTCTTTTTGTAAATTGTTTAAATATTTAATTTTTTGTTATATAATATACTTCTTTCTCTCTTTTTTTTTTTTTGTGTGTACACGAAATATAAATTTGTTTTAGAGCGCATTTTGTTTTCTTCTAATTGGCCAAAACATGTTTCGAAGCAATCAAACAATTTATTATTTCGTTTGCCCCATTTAAGACAAGGTTTTGCTCAAAAACATAAAACTATTAAAACGACAAAGGAGTTCATAAATTTACTAAGCAAATGAGTTATAGACATGATTGTGCGGTTGTATCAGAGCCCCAGAAAAAAAAAGAAGAAGATGTTTCTAGTTTTTTGGAACAACTTTAAAGCACGTTACAGACGCTTCCTTACAAATATTTACGCATAGGGAATCAAAATATCAAGTCAAATATTTTGCTTGAGAAATTATTCAATAATTTGCTGAAACACCTTAGTGTCCAAAAACAAAAAAAAAAGCAAATAAAAAATTAAATAAAAGATTAAAACACACACAAACAAAATTGTAAGTAAAAGAAAGAACCGACAAATCCTTTTGTTAGCTATTTCGTTGCAATATTTTTTATATACCATATTTAAGTGTAGTAGGAACAAAACAAAAGAAAAGAAAACAAAACAAACGAAACGAAAAGGGAAAATCAAATGAAACAATGAGATCAAGTTGCAAAAAATCAAGCGTTTAAAATCGATTTGTAGCAATTACAAAACAACAAACAAATGATATATACAATTTATATACAACAAAAAACTATATATATATATATATACCTATATACAACAATGACATTTGATAAGTGAGAATGAGACGGGGGGGAAAATCTTACTAGTTTTATATTCATAAATGCCACGCCCACACACCACAGACAAAGCACACTCACATACACCCACACACAACCACACACACACACATAAACTAATCTACTGCAATTTGAAAGAAGAAGAAAACTTATTATTGATAAACAAAAAACAAAAACAACAAAAAAAAAAGAAGATTGTGTAAGCCGCAAGGAAAAAAGGAGTAAACCAGATCAAGAGACATGAGAAAATTATTATTATTATTATTAAAATTATTATTATTATTGTAAGTTTAAGAGCAAAATCGCTGACAAAACCAGCAGAATTAAAAATCTTAAAAAAAATGAGATATTGTTATATACTAGTAATTCTTAAGGCGACAAACAAAACAACAAAAAAACAAAACAGAAGAAAGAAAAAAAAAACTTAACAAAAAAAGCAAAGAAAAATAGAGTCAAATAAAATATTGAATCGAACATCGTCTAATTGTTATTATTTGGAATTAATTTTTACCCAAAGATGGAAATTACAAGAGCCGTGCTTTACCCATTTCCCTAGCTCAATTTCTAGTCGATGTGAAGTATTTATTTATTTTCTTTCCTGAGTTCCTTAAATTGAATAGTTTTTCGCTTGAACTTGAACCACGGTAAAGACAAACAGAGCTTACAAAAGTTCTGTAAACAATTAACCTTTATTGATAATATATATTTTTGACTTGTAGAAGAGGAAGAAGCGGTTGAGGACAATGCGCAGGTGGCGGAGCTGTCCAACGATTCCGATGCCCCATTGAAGCCCAATGTGAGTAGCTCAGTTTATAGCTTTAGATCTTTAACTAATGCTTTTGGTGTGGCGCAGAATGACGAGGATGATGATTACGATCCGGAGGATAATCGCAAGAAGAAGAAGGGCAAGAAGCGTAAGACCCGAAAGGGCGAAGAGAAGGGACGCAAAAAGAAGAAGCGCAAAAAGAATGAGAGCGAGGAGGACAGCGATTTTGTGCAGCACGACGAGGAGGTCGAGTATCCGAGCACTTCATCGAAACGTGGACGCAAGCGCAAAGAGGAGAAGCAGGCGCAAAAGGAGAAGGAATCCTCCTCATCGGGTGAGTTGCAACATTACACAAATTAATATCTATTAAAAGTATGCTAATCCCGTATAAATATTACAGGAATGCCATCTGTCGAGGACGTGTGCTCCGCGTTTGGCGTGTGCGACGTGGAGATCGAATACAGCGAGGAGGAGCTGCAGAGCCTGACCACATACAAAGCATTCATGCAGCATGTGCGACCCATATTGCAAAAGGAGAATCCGAAAATTGCAGCGCCCAAGCTCATGATGCTGGTCGCGGCCAAGTGGCGGGAATTCTGCGAGAGCAATCCCCATATACAGCAGGAGCAGCAGCAGGGCGGACAAGCGCCGGCGGCAACATCGGCGGCAGAGCCAGACGAGCCGCGTTCATCGCGCTCGTCGCGTAACGAGAAACCGGACGACATTTACGAAGAGGAGGAGGAAGAAGAGGAAGAGGAGGAGGAGAAGAAGCCACGACGCAAGCGCAGCGGACGCAGCAGCAACAAGAAGGGACGTCGTCCGTCTGGCAAGGTGCCCACACTGAAGATCAAATTTGGCAAGCGCAAACGCGACAGCTCCGACGAGGAACCAGACGCAAGTGGCGCCTCCGAGCGTGACTCTGATCTGGAATTCGAACGCATGCTGCAAAAATCGGACGATAGCGCCGACGAGAAGGAAAAGGAGAAGGAGAAGCAGCCAACAGAGACGGCGGCCGCAGCTGCGGCCCAGGAGGATGGGGCGCCCGTGGTGCGCAAGAAGGCCAAAACCAAAATTGGCAACAAGTTCAAGAAGAAGAACAAAATGAAGAAAACAAAGAACTTTCCAGAGGGCGAGGACGGCGAGCACGAGCATCAGGACTACTGCGAGGTGTGCCAACAGGGCGGCGAGATCATCCTCTGCGACACCTGTCCGCGCGCCTACCATTTGGTGTGCCTGGAGCCGGAACTGGACGAGCCGCCAGAGGGTAAATGGTCGTGCCCGCACTGCGAGGCTGATGGCGGCGCCGCCGAGGAGGAGGACGACGATGAGCATCAGGAGTTTTGCCGCGTGTGCAAAGACGGCGGCGAGCTTCTCTGCTGCGATTCCTGCCCATCGGCATACCACACTTTCTGTCTGAATCCGCCGCTGGATACCATACCCGACGGCGATTGGCGTTGTCCGCGCTGCAGCTGCCCTCCACTGGTCGGCAAGGCCGAGAAGATCATCACCTGGCGCTGGGCCGTACAGCGTCGTGCCAGCAGCGAGGCGTCCACCTCGAAGGGCGCCAAGGTGGGCAATCGGGTGCGCGAGTACTTCATCAAGTGGCACAACATGTCCTACTGGCACTGCGATTGGGTCTCCGAGGTGCAGCTGGACGTGCATCATCCGCTGATGATACGCTCCTTCCAGCGCAAATACGACATGGAGGAGCCGCCCAAATTCGAGGAGTCATTGGACGAGGCCGACACACGTTTCAAGCGCATCCAGCGCCACAAGGACAAGGTGGGCATGAAGGGCAACGATGACGACGACGAGGCCGCTCTCGAGGAGCGCTTCTACAAGAACGGCGTCAAGCCCGAATGGCTGATTGTCCAGCGCGTCATCAACCATCGCACGGCACGCGATGGCAGCACCATGTATCTGGTGAAGTGGCGTGAGCTGCCCTACGACAAGTCCACCTGGGAGGAGGAAGGCGACGATATACCCGGTCTGCGTCAGGCCATCGATTACTATCAAGATTTGCGCGCGGTGTGCACCTCGGAGCAGTCGCGCAGCTCCAGCAGCAAGAAGAGCAAAAAGGGACGCAAAACCAAGAAGCTGGAGCTGGACGACGAGGATCGTCCCGTCAAGCACTATACACCGCCGCCGGAGAAGCCGACAACGGACCTGAAAAAGAAATATGAGGGTCAGCCGGCATTCCTGGATGATACGGGCATGCAGCTGCATCCCTATCAGATCGAGGGCATCAACTGGTTGCGCTACAGCTGGGGCCAGAGCATCGATACCATACTGGCCGACGAGATGGGTCTGGGCAAGACCATACAGACCGTAACCTTTCTCTATTCGCTGTACAAGGAGGGCCATTGCCGCGGCCCCTTCCTGGTGGCCGTGCCACTCTCCACGCTGGTCAACTGGGAGCGTGAGTTTGAGCTGTGGGCGCCCGATTTCTATTGCATCACCTACATTGGGGACAAGGACTCACGTGCCGTGATACGCGAGAACGAGCTGACCTTCGACGAGGGCGCCATACGGGGCACAAAGGTCTCGCGGCTGCGCACAACCCAATACAAATTCAATGTGCTGCTCACCAGCTACGAGCTGATCTCGATGGATGCACCCTGCCTGGGCAGCATTGACTGGGCGGTGCTGGTCGTGGACGAGGCGCATCGCCTCAAGAGCAATCAGAGCAAGTTCTTCCGCATCCTCAATAGCTATGCGATTGCCTACAAGCTGCTGCTCACTGGAACACCATTGCAAAACAATCTGGAGGAGTTGTTCCATTTACTCAACTTCTTGAGTCGCGACAAGTTCAACGATTTGCAGGCATTCCAGGGCGAGTTTGCGGATGTGTCCAAGGAGGAGCAGGTGAAGCGTTTGCATGAGATGCTCGGACCCCATATGCTGCGTCGCCTCAAGACCGACGTGCTCAAGAATATGCCCTCCAAGTCGGAGTTCATTGTGCGCGTCGAGCTCTCGGCCATGCAGAAGAAGTTCTACAAGTTTATCCTGACCAAAAACTATGAGGCGCTCAATTCGAAGAGCGGCGGCGGCTCCTGCTCCCTGATCAACATCATGATGGATCTGAAAAAGTGCTGCAATCATCCGTATCTATTCCCATCGGCCGCCGAGGAGGCACCCACCTCCGCGGGCGGCATCTATGAGATCAACTCGCTGACCAAGGCAGCCGGCAAGCTGGTGCTGCTCTCCAAGATGCTGAAGCAGCTCAAGTCGCAGAATCATCGCGTGCTCATCTTCTCGCAAATGACCAAGATGTTGGACATCCTGGAGGACTTCCTCGAAGGCGAGCAGTACAAGTACGAGCGCATTGATGGCAGCATTACGGGCACCGTGCGACAAGAGGCCATCGATAGATTCAATGCGCCCGGAGCACAACAGTTCGTCTTTCTGCTCAGTACACGTGCCGGCGGCTTGGGCATTAATCTGGCCACAGCCGATACGGTTATTATCTATGACTCCGATTGGAATCCCCACAATGATATACAGGCCTTCTCGCGTGCCCATCGTATTGGCCAGGCCAACAAGGTGATGATCTATCGCTTTGTCACACGCAATTCGGTGGAGGAGCGCGTCACGCAGGTGGCCAAGCGCAAGATGATGTTGACGCATCTGGTGGTGCGTCCCGGCATGGGCGGCAAGGGTGCCAACTTTACCAAACAGGAGCTGGACGATATTCTGCGCTTCGGCACTGAGGATCTGTTCAAGGAGGACGACAAGGAGGAGGCCATACACTACGATGACAAGGCCGTTGCCGAGCTGCTCGATCGTACCAATCGCGGCATTGAGGAGAAGGAATCATGGGCCAATGAGTATTTGTCCTCCTTCAAGGTGGCCTCCTATGCCACCAAGGAGGAGGAGGAGGAGGAGGAAACGGAGATCATTAAACAGGATGCCGAAAACTCAGATCCCGCCTACTGGGTCAAGCTGCTGCGTCACCACTACGAACAGCACCAGGAGGATGTGGGTCGCACCCTGGGCAAGGGCAAGCGCGTGCGCAAGCAGGTCAACTACACGGACGGCGGAGTCGTGGCGGCGGACACGACCCGCGACGACTCCAACTGGCAGGACAATGGCAGCGAATACAATTCCGAGTACTCGGGCGGCAGCGACGAGGATGGCGGCGATGACGACTTCGATGAGCAGAACGGCGAACGCAAGGCCAAGCGCCGCTTGGAGCGACGCGACGATCGTCCCCTGCCGCCCCTGCTGGCACGCGTCGGTGGCAACATCGAGGTGCTGGGCTTCAATGCCAGGCAGCGCAAGAGCTTCCTCAACGCCATCATGCGGTACGGCATGCCGCCCCAGGATGCCTTCAATTCGCAGTGGCTGGTGCGCGATCTGCGCGGCAAATCGGAGCGCAACTTCAAGGCTTACGTCTCGCTCTTCATGCGGCATCTGTGCGAACCGGGCGCCGACAATGCCGAGACCTTTGCCGACGGCGTGCCCCGCGAGGGTCTCTCCCGGCAACATGTACTCACGCGCATTGGCGTCATGTCGCTGATACGCAAGAAGGTGCAGGAATTCGAGCACATCAATGGCTACTACAGCATGCCCGAGCTGATACTCAAACCCTGCGAGCCAGTGCGTTCTGGTGGCAAACAGGAGGCAGCTGCCGCTGCCTTGGACGCCGCCACACCGGCCACAGGCAAGCCGCCGGCGGAGAGCACCACGACCAGCAACAGTGCAACGCCGGCCACGAGTGCAGCGCCCAGTCCAGCGCCTGCCTCGGAGAAGAGCGAAGATAAAGCCACGCTGGATAAGGCGACGCCCGAGAAGCAGGAACCCAAATCGGAACCAGATGGCTCTGCTGCTGCTGCTGACGAGGACAAAAAGTCACTCGATGCGGCCGTTAAGCAGGAGAGCGCCGAAGAGTCGGCTGAGAGCGAGACCAAGACGACCACCGCTGAGGCGAGTGTCAAGAGCGAGCCGGCCAAACTGGAGCCCAAAGAGGAGGGCAAGGAGCAGCCAGAGCAACTGCCCAAGGAGGAGCCCAAGAGCGAGCAGAGCGACGACAAGGAGAAGGACAAAGAGAAGCCAAGCAGCGAGGAGAAACCGCCAAACAATCCGAGCAGCAGCAGCAGCACAAACATCATTGACGATGACGACGACGATGTGATGATTGTCAAGGAGGATGGCGAACTGGAGAAGCCCAGCGCCGGTGCCAATGCCAATGCCAATGCCAATTCGCCCAAGGATCAGAAGGGTGCGGCTGCGGCTGTTGCCGGAACAGGTGCTGGCAAGCTGGTTGAGGACAGTCTCGAGGTATTGAAACGCAAATTCATGTTCAACATTGCCGATGGAGGCTTCACCGAGCTGCACACACTGTGGCTCAACGAGGAGAAGGCAGCTGTGCCCGGCCGCGAATACGAGATCTGGCATCGACGCCACGACTACTGGCTGCTGGCGGGCATTGTCACCCATGGCTACGGCCGTTGGCAGGATATACAGAATGATATACGCTTCGCCATCATCAATGAGCCGTTCAAAATGGACGTGGGCAAGGGCAATTTCCTGGAGATTAAGAACAAGTTTTTGGCGCGGCGCTTTAAGCTGCTGGAGCAGGCTCTGGTCATCGAAGAGCAGCTGCGACGTGCAGCATTCCTGAATCTCGCCCAGGATCCCAGCCATCCGGCCATGTCGCTGAACGCTCGCTTCGCCGAGGTCGAATGCCTGGCCGAGTCGCATCAGCATCTGAGCAAGGAGTCGCTGGCCGGCAACAAGCCGGCCAATGCGGTGCTGCACAAGGTGCTCAATCAGCTGGAGGAGCTGCTTTCCGACATGAAGAGCGATGTCTCACGTCTGCCGGCCACCTTGGCGCGCATTCCGCCCGTGGCGCAGCGCCTGCAAATGTCCGAGCGTTCCATCCTATCGCGCCTGGCGGCCACCGCCGGCAATGCCTCCAATGCGGGTAGGTTTTACCATATATACAAATCTTGAGGATTATTCATAACCCATTTATCTGGTTGTCTTTTGCAGCTCAATTGATGGCACAGTTTCCGGCCGGCTTTCAGGGCACCACCTTGCCGGCTTTCACAGGCGGTCCCGCTGGCAACTTTGCCAACTTCCGGCCACAGTTCTCTGTGCCCGGGCAGCTGCCCAACAATGCGGGCACCTGAGCATCATAGCACCATAGCCAGCCGCATTCAAATTCCATGGAAATTAATTAAAATCTTCAGCTAAGAATTTAACGCTACGTATAATACTAAATGCATACCCGAAAACACATTTAAAATATTTATCATAAACAATTGCAATGAAATTCAATTAATTAACCAACCGTTCGTTCACAAATTCAATATTTGCCGCATTCTAGAATCGTAACATTTTGGCTGCTTCCGGCCGATTATTAATGACAAATTATTATAAAATGCTTATTTTACCTACTCTATGTGATTTCATTTTATATAGATACAAATACACACAAAATATATAAATCCAATTCCATTGCAAAAGACAAGGCATTTTCCGAGTATTTTATTTATTCAAATTTCGACTTAGATTTAAAAAATCAGCGCCTAAAAGCCAGCAACAAAAATGTTCTCAACATGAATGAATATTCCCAAGGATAACTGCATCGATCTGTATTGAAAATGTATAAGCTGATCTCAAGGATAAGAAACTTCAGCCAGAAGAGTAACATATTAGTAAATATCTCGTATCCTTATTTTGAAAACGAACAGGACGATTTTGTTGTTATTTCGCCAGATGTTAGCCATGGCTCTAACGAAACGTCCGACACAGATATCGGGAGAATCCGTAAGGATACGACCGATTTTACAAATCTTCGCAAAGATTATGCTTTTATAAAAAATAGCTCTAACTCGGCTATATCCTTGCGTATTTTCAAAATACATGTGGCGTTAGGTTCGCAAGCACCAACCCCATCGAACTGCATCAAAACATTATGGGGTCATCTAAGAATCCAGAACTTGTAAAATTTCAGTCGCCGGCCGCACGTAATATGGTCTAAAATCACAAAATCCTTGATATCTTGGAAACTACAAGGACGATCTCGATGCCCTTTGGCCAGTTGATAGCCCTGGTCAATACAATTTTTTTGACACAGGACTCGTTAGGATACGCAAGGATACAGCCGAGTTATGGCCTATTTTCTCTTGACAAATTTGTCCTTAAAACTTCGCTGTTTGAAGGACTTTCGTCCTTCTTGTTATATATTCTTAATTGGGTCGGCGAGGATTACTTGCTGGCCAAAGGACATCCCGATAGTCCTTCAAATGGCGAAGATAGTCCGGATTTTTTCGATTTTGGCCAATTTTGCGACTAAACCCCTTGCCAAAATTTTGATGAAATATTTTGTCGAATCCTTGAAATCCTTGAATGCCAATCGATAGTCCTGCTCTCCACTAGCTCAAAAAGGTATATCCTTCCGATATCCTTAAGGATTTGGTCGAGTTATGGCTATAAAAAGAATGTCCTTTTTAGAAATTTGTCAATATTTCGGAAACCACAAGGACGATTTTGTTGTCCTTTGGCCAGTTAATTGTCCTTGTCTATACGAGTTGTTTGACACGGGAATTGTCAGGATCCGCAAGGATACGGCCGAGCTATGACTACTTTAATGTACAAAAGAAATGTCTTTATATTTAGGATGTCTGAAGGACTTCCGTCATTTTTATTGTATATTCTGAATCGCGAGGATAAGGACTAATGGTTGGCCAAAGGACATCGCGATCCGCAAGGATACGGCCGATTTACGGCCTTCTTTCTTTTCGGACAAACATCTCCTTTCTTCAGCTCCTTGAAGGACTTTCGTCCTTTTTATCACATATTCTCAGTTGGCAGGACAAGGACTGCATGTTGCCCACAGGACATCGGTATATTGCTTGAAATGAGCTATTTAAACCTTGCGATTCTTAAAGGATTCGGTGCGTCGCGATCGCAGGGTCCAATTCAACCAATTGGGATTCAAGGATATAGGTGCACTATGTAGGATTAAATTTCTTAAAATAGATATACAATTAATGTAGAAAGTAAGTATTTGCAAATTTCATTCAAGCGACAGACTTATTTAATTTGATACTCGTAACTTTGTTTCTTTGTATTATCATTGTATATATATATATATATGTATGTTTGTATATTAATTATAAATTAGTTAAGTTTGTATGTGTATATACTCGTGTGTATACATATGTATATAAGTAATTTGTAAATATCAAATACATTGTCCTTAGACAAATTGAAGTCATTTGATAAGCGCAATATTAATTTCAGAAACGATTCGGTGCACACATCATTTACCATATATGAGTAGGGCGCAATATAAGTGCATATTCTGGGTCTATTATTTAGCAGCATTTTGCCAAAAATATTGCTAATTAATATCAAGGTTCCGACAACATTTGACCAGCAATTACCTACCATGGGCATTTCGATCATTCTATTGCAATATCGATCTCCATTTCGTTATATACAATAGTTACAAATAAATGGAATTGCATATTCAATATATATGCATATACATATTACGAGTAATTATAATTAATTACAAGCGGGCTCTGGCGGCCTAATACATAATACAAAGTACAACAAACGAAGATGCGCTAATAATCAAAATAAAATACAATTAAAAAAAAAATAATTCAAATTTAACAAACAAACTGCACTTCAACACCAAATCCGATGCTATTAAATAATCTAATAATAAATGTGACAAAAACAAATTATCTGCGAACTAAGTTTGACATTACACATATATAGAAATAAAATATGAATAATGTATAGCATTGTATGGTACATATGGTATGGAATATGGTACATTAAACAAAATCACATTTGCAACGCGAATGTGCGAGTGCTCACAACAAACAAAAAACTCAAGCAAGTTTGCGTCTAAAACTAGATATTGTGGGCAACTTAAACTAGAACAGCAAATCAGCTTAGAATAGTAAATAACAAAAACAAGCACACTCACGCTAACACACACACACAAATAAACATAGGCATACACTCACAAATATATGCGTACATATGTAAATATATGGTATATATATATATAAAATTAAACACATTCAAGCGATTGAAGAGCCCATCATAGCCTTTAGTCGTACCCCCGTAGAGCTGCTGCAGTTTGCAACAATAAAAATACAATATTATGATATTGTGCATAATTTCTTAAGCTCGCTCTCCGACTCGTCCACATCCAGCTGGAGGTTGGCGGAATTTGGCAGCGCACGTCCCTCGATGTTAGGCAGGTAGGGTTCATAGTCGAGACCCTGGCGCTCATAGAAAAGCAAATAGGCAGCGCTCGGATCAATGTTTGGCTTTTGCGATATCTCGCGACAGGAGCTGTCATTGTAGCAATACCAGGAACCAGTTGTATTTGATGCATAGGAAATGTAATGACCACCATTCAGCATGCCAGAGTGCGACTGCAATGAGATACCATCATTAATCATCATCATAATTCAATGGTTCTATCGACCTACCACCACGGCATACAGTTTGTATTTGGGATCGAACTCATCAACACCCGCTTGGAGCTTGTGCTGATGATAGTCCTCAAATTCCCCATCCACAATGGGCGTCTTTGTAAGGCTCGTAGATATAAGGCGCTGTCGCCTGGCGGCATTGCTTGATTTGCTCTGACGCAGCACGGTTCCAGCGGCCGACGGTGTTTCCTTTGAAGTAGCCACTTTTTCGCCTACTGCCGCTTCTGTTGGAGGGGGAGCATCTGCTGGAGGAAGCGCATCTGCTGGAGGGGGCGCATCTGCTGGTGCTTTGTCGCTGGCATCTACTTCATCCAGTTCGCTAGGAACTTCATTGCTGTTACCAATCAAATCCCGCTTCAGCTCTAACAGCTCCTTGTGCCGCAGTATCGTCTCCTGTGGCACTGATGCTAAATAAGGCGTTGGATCAAAGTCATCGAAGGGGAAGTGCACCACCTTCTGCGATTTAACCCATTTGCCGTTAACGCAATTGAAACGCTTCAAATGGACAATCTACAAAGGAGCAGCCAAATAAATAACTCAGTTTGTACTTAAAATGATAAAACATTTACCAGAATCGGTGGCAATTTCCATATTTGCAGCTTCTTCGTCGCTGGCTTCTTGCCCTTGCAGTGGCTACAGTGGTACCACTGCTCCAACTTTTCCTCGGAGGTAAAGGCGCGTAGGCAATGATTCAGATCGACGGGCTCCACTTGCTCCCGTCGGCATATGGCAATGGTCTCATGATCGACCCAGAGCTGAGCGGGAACAACAGCAATTAATATATACCCTCGATTTCCAGCGGGGCTGTCTACTTACACGCTCCAAGGTGCTTTGATAACGTAAATGCAACGCGGTTGGGTCCCAATCGATGGCAATGGTAAAGTCTTCAAAATATTTTGTTGTTGGAGTATAGGATAGCGATGTGGTGTACTCCGGTGCTCGCTTGGCCTCCAGATTCGGTAGCGATGGGCATTTTTCGTTCATTTTTGGTGTGGCTATGTTATCTAGAAGAAGAAGCCAAAACCAGTTGAAGAAGCGTTGCAATGCAGGATATAAATCCAGGATAACTTACTGGCCACACAGTTGATGGGCGGCAGAGCGCCCTGAAGCACGTAGTCATTGTTGCAGCGAATTTCGCAGCCGCGACAAAAGTTCGACCAGGGACAGATGGCGCAGGTGAGGCCGTCCGCTTTGACTGCACGCAGCGTGAAGGGAAAATCATAGCCCAGGCTGTCGTCACTTAAGGATAGATTCGATACGAACATTAAAAGAGGAATAAATTATGGAATAATCACTATAATTACCAGTCGGCAGCATGGTTAGCCTGTTCGGTGGTGGCTGGCAGAGGACTCAGCAGCCGGCTAACTTGCAGCCAGACGGCGCAATACAGATCCTTGTGGGTGCCGCCATCACAGTTGGGTATCAGCAGGGGCACACCAAAGAGGCTGGGCCGTGTTTTGTGGTAGGAAAGGAAGTAGCTGTCGTGGCGCGTGATTTTGCGATGGACAGCCACCAGATATTTGGCCACCTTGTATGGCTGCGAGGAGCGGCGCGAGTAGACACCGCTGCTGGTTTGATTGCCGCTCGTGCTCTCCGGCTGTGAGGTGGTTATTTGCTGATCCGGCTCCTCGCCTTCGTCCTGTCCATCCTCATCGTCGTCGTCCGCATCAGCTTCCACGTCACGATCGAAGCTATTGACGGCCAACGTGTGAGCTGTGCTCATGACGCTGGGGTGCTCATTGGTGTTGCGATAGGAGGCGCCATCATCGCTGTTGCTGCCATGTCGACTGGCAGCCAGCTCCGCCACCGGCATTGGCTCCGTTAGCGAACTCTCCATTGAGTTCTCGCCAGAGTGATTCGTATACGATGCCGAACTGGTGTTGCTCTCCGTGTGCAGCAGCTTGGTGGATGAGATGCGCTTCTGTTGTGCAGCCGCGTCGTCCATAAAGTTGTTATCCGGGCTGCAGCTCAGGATCAGCGACTCCTGTTTTGGATGTACCAATGAAGTTGGCCGAAGTTTTGCATTAGTTGTGCGTAACTTACATTAATGTTAGTCGTTATGTGTGTGTGTGTGAGTGTTTGTATTTTTAAGCTCTTGGAATTTAAACAATTAACGATTACTACTCGCAAATAGGCAACATTTTTATAAACTAGGATAAACGCTCAAAATCTACAAAATCGTGAAAAAGTACTTATTGCGGGTGTTCAAAATTAGCTGCTATATATATATATATATACATATATATATATATATATATATATATACTATATAAGAACATGTATTAAAAGTTGTAATTTTGTTAATTAGTTCGCATTGCTTGTGGTTTCTATGGTGGAAATGAGTAGAAGAGCATTTGCAATGTGCACACTAGCGGGTGATTCAAGAAAAATTACAATTTATAACAATATAAATCTTTAAACTTTAGTTAAATATAGCTCAGACCAGTTTGTACTAGTCGTAACTCTCAAATCTATGAAAATTATGTGAAGAACAGAGAGGAGCAAATAGAAGTTTAAAGGCATTACATAAATTATATTAAATATATAATATTTATATATAATATAATATTTAAAAATAAAAACGTAATCATTTCATTTATCTTTATAGTGCCCTACTCCAGATCTTCAAATAATTGTATGTTCTTTTGCCACAAACTGAGATGAATAATAAATATTAAACATTATAAATGAGAATGAATCACCCTTGCGCAAAATTGACAAGCTATGAGAATTTCTAGAGGCTACTTGTACCGTAAATGACGAAGGAAAATGTACAAAAAACGGTACAGTTAAATTATAAATTTTGCATACTCGATGAGCAACGATAACCGATAGCGGTAGCGATAACGATAACGATAACTATAGTAGCTAAATGGTGAGTCTAATAAGAATTGTTTAAAGCAAAAATATACATTAGGTATTTTATTAAGGCCAGCAACAAATTAAAGATGTGTGTATTAGTATAGGGAGGAGCATAGAAATAACAATAATTTACAAGAAATACGAGTATATTCGGAGATTTAGACTAGTTGAATAAGTGCGTTTACGAAATCAAAGTACAATTAGAGGTTTAGACGGGTGTGGGGTGTACATTAGATAGGTGGCCCACAAACCAAACAGAAACTGAAACGGCAACTGTTCATTTAACATATTTGTATTTAATATATATAGATTTTCGATTTCGATTTCGATAAACATTGCGACAACAGAGCGGAGAGGGGCGAAAACGAAATGAAACGAATGCCAGTTACGCCGGAATATTTTGTTTTGAAATTCTTGATAATCTTCGTTTTGCAGGGGCTCGTGGCTGGAGCGAGTTTATCCTAGGCAATGGGGAATTTGTCAAAATCATTTTAAATGCGACCTCTGAGGGCCCATGAATCTAACATATTAAATACGTGTATGTTAATATAGTTTAGAAGCCATACCTTGAAGCAAAAAAGACTGTGGGGCATGCACTCTCTCTTTCCAAAGCACCGGCTTACCTTTCCGGCATCATCTGGCTGCAGTTCGTGCACTTGGCCAACGCTGCTGCCAATGTTGTTGTTTTTGTATTTGGTTAACTCATGGTCTCCATCGATGCCAGCCGCCTCCTGCCCATCACTGAGATGGCCATTGCAGATCACACGCGACGACGATGTACGATTTGAGGTCTGGAGTGTGCTAAGCGATGAGAGTGAGTCCTGTGTCGTGATGAGCGCTAGAAAGAGTCTAAGGTTAGCCAAAAGTTACACTTATAAGCAATATCCAGCAATTACCAGAGCTGCGCTGTATGTCCTTGAGGCCCTGCTCGATGTGCATGCTGAGTGCCGAATTTGAGCGCGTTCTGGAGTTGCTTTGCTCGGGCAGCTGATACACATACAGATCCTTGGAGCTTTGCGTGCGCAGCTTTTCCTCATCAGCGAGCACCTGGCGTATTTGCGAATTCCACAGCTCACACACCAGCATAAGGCTTGGCTGCAGCGGACACAGCGTGGCCAGCTTATGCTTCAGATCACCGTATTTGCATTCCGAGTTTAGCCGCAGACCATATTTAATCGGCACACTGCCATCCAACAGAATCACTGTAATATGAAAGCAGAGAGAATGATTTTGAATGGACAAGCAAAATTCATGAGTGACCTACCCAGCACCTCCAGATACACATAATTCTCCACAGGCAGTGGCAGGCTGAGCAAACTAAACGGGTCGAAACGCACAGACTCGTGCCCACAGCACAGGCAACTGACCTTCGACTTAAGCTGGCCATAGAACAGATCTATGATTATGGATTGATTGCGTGCATGATGCTGGGACCAAGCCTCGGCAGCAACAATCTTGTCGGGTCGCCCATTGGAGTCCTTGAGTTCGCTATAGGGTTTTTCCATCACACGATTGAGGTCCTCATGCAGTGCGTCGAGCAGCCATTCAAGCAGCTCCTGCGAATCGTGCTGTCCACCGCCGGCAAATTGTGGCGCATGTTTGTTTACACAGAAGCGCAGCTTTAGCGGCGCCACGGAGCGAGTCGTAGCCGTCCACACTTCCTTGAGCAGCTCCGCATAGCGTATGGCAAGCTGACCGCGTGTGCCGAGCTTATTGGCCGCATTCAATTCGAAGCGATGCATCTGACGATGAAAGTACTGCGCCAGCGGTTGCGTATTGAAGAGCACTTGGAGTGCTGCGTTCATGAAACAGGTGTTGCCCAGATTATGGAGCCCAGTGGCGCCTGGTGCGTGGACGGACATGATGGAGGTGCGCGTTAGACGGCGCCTATCACCAGGTCCGGCACCAGCTTGACCGCTTTGCGTGCTGGCCAGCGAGCTGAGCTCCTCGGGCCAAGTAAGATCTTTGTTGCGTATCTCTAGCAGCAACTGATCGTTGTCGCGTATCAGAAGCTCCTTTAGGCACATGGTATCCTCCTCCAAAAGTATGGCACTATTATCCAGCGTTGCGCTCGACGGCGGCACATGCCACAGCCGTATATCCTCCGGCTTAAGGCGCAGTTGCTCGCACAGAAAGTCTCCCACCTGTCGTACTGTGGCCAGCCGACTAAACGCAGCCGTGTACGCCAAATAACGCTTGGGCGGTTGCAGTACACTGCTGGCCGCAATGGCCGCATAGCCGCCGCCAGAGGCCAGAACGCCATATCCACCGCTGACTGTTGAGCCCCAGTTGGTGATTTGTGTGTTGGCTCCACTGATCGTGGGCGTCTGCACCTGATGCAGCAGTATGCGCAAGTTAAGCGGATACAGCTCCAGCTCTACCTCCGAGTTGGGCGGTTGTATCACCTGCAAGTAAGGAAAGAAAGATTAGCTGAGGACTAGGAGTTTTATGGATCGTCAGTTTACCTGTCGTGGCAGAGGAAGATTGTCGCCATACCAACGATTGATCGCTTTCCACAGCGATTTGGGCACCAGCTCAAAGTCGTGATTCTGTACAAGTGGCGTATCACGCTTCAGATGACCGCCCTCTCCGGTAAGAGTGCGAACATTGCGATAGGGATTGGTGGTAATCAGATTGCTATTGTCAATAGGACCCGGACGCTGTTGGCCGCAGTGGCGGCCGGCAGAGATGCCGCTGCTGCCGGATACGGAGCCCAGTGAATAGCTATCGTGTTGCTCCAGGCTGTGCGTGTTGAAGCTCTCATCACAGACGAGCGCCTCATCGACCGCACTGCGCTGGCTGGCGGTGCGCTTGCAGTAGTCGCAGGTATGCGAGGTGTGTTGCGTGTACTGCATCCAAGTGAGCCACCAGTCACGGGAAATTAGATACCAGAACTGGCCAACTCGATAGGGACGTCGCTCCTCGCGCTGCAACCAGCCGCGCACAATATCGAACTCCATGTGCTTGCATTGCGGCCACAGGCCAAACACTATGTGGCACAGCTCAAAAATAAGGTCCAAAAGCGGTTGCATCAGCCTTAGGCCGCACTGCACATTCCACAGCATAAAATCCTCCGCTGTTAGCGAGACATTGTCTCGTGTGAGCGTACTAGGCACGCCGTCGGGACTCCTGCGCTGGGCAAACTCAAGCAGATCACTGATCACATGCTGCTTGGTCAGATCCTTAAATTGCTGCGCATCGCGATTTTCCTTGGCTACAAACAGCAGCACGTTGATCATTTGCAGCGTCTCCTCGTGACTGAGCACACCATCCCGATCCACGTCAAAGATCTTAAAACAGACTACAAATCGGCGAAAAGAAGCGGGTCAGACTAGTTAAAAGAGATCTTTGGCAGCACTTACAGCGCGTGCGCTCTACGCCGGGTCCACGACAGGCGGCACTGACGCCACAGCAAAGCTCCTTAAAATCAATGTGACCATCACGATTCTCGTCGAAGGCATTAAATAGACCGGCCAGCGCGTTCTTTGGTATGGGTGGACTGATAAGTGGTCCCAAAAATTGTAAATCGATTTGGCCATTCTGTGAGGTGTTCTTCAAGCGCCAGAACTCCTTCTCCAAGTCGCCAATATCCTGTAACAATGAGATAAGATTACTAAATGAGTTTTTCTTAAAATTACTGTGTTTGGTTTCTTCTGCATTGATTTCTGTGCTGTGTCCGTATACAAAAGGTTTTTCCCATTATATAACATTTGCTGACCTTTTCTTCAAGATGCGTAACACCGGCCAAACTCTGATAGAAGGTGGGCGTCTCCAGCTCCGAGGTGAGACTGACACAATTGTCAGCTAACAGCCACTTGGACAGCACCGTTGCATTGCGATGCTTGACTATCCAGTCCTGGAACTGCTCAAAGTTGACGCGTTCGCTTTGGGCAAACAAGGAGACGCTCTCGAATGGAGCTAGGCTCACATTGCGCACGTAATCGGATTTGATGATGTAGGTGCCAGCGTCATTGCAGTACAGGTTCCACAGAAATCTGTCGATGCAAAGAGTTAATTTATATACTATACTATACTTATGTATTGCAGCACTCACTTGGTTTTCTCCTCCTGTGTGCCGCGTGTGATCAGCACCAGGCCGCACAGTAGGTCCTTGAAGGATATGCCGCGCTGTGTGCCACCACAGGCGGCATAAAGCATGTCCGTAATCTTGGGCGGCACCCCCTCACACAGCACGTCCTGCTGGAATGCATTGCGACTGAGATAGAGTCGCCCCACGCCAGCTGATTTCTTGAAGGCATCTTTAAGGCGTCGCAACTCGGCGTCGCTAACTGTTGAGTGATTAATGGGTATATAAAAGATTAATATCAGCTGGGTTATGCATATAAGCAAACAAATCAATGGGTTAAACCGAATTAGTGCGAACACCTTGTAGCGTATACAATGAATGATCAGCGCGAAAGGGGAACACCGAAAACGTTTTACAACCTTGAGGTTTCGCGACCGCCGTTTCTAATGCGAAACATTCTGACGTTGTGTTATGGCGGCTAAGGGAATATATTGTGTTAAGCTCATTTAAATTCAGATCATTTAGAATCTTAAAAAACTCTAAGTGAGACATGCAAGAACTACCAAAATACTATTTACTTGATTGTTTGTTTTTATAATATGAAATATGCTGGTAGTTGTGTAATTTGTTTACAGTAAAATTGTACAATTGGTGTTAATAATGCATTTGCAGAACTTTTTTTTAGTACATTTTGATATTTTCCAGCACTTCTTAGTCATGAAATCGGACTGTTGGAATTTAAATACTGCATGTGAAACCTTTGTTATATTATTTATTGAAAATTAGGTGTTTCAGCAATTGAACTATTTTGCAAATAAGAATAGCCAATAAGTTATATTAAGACACTACTGTATTACCTTAACATATCGTACTGTTCATTAAAAGATCTTTTTTGTCTAGCAAATGGTTAAACAACTCTCAAAATCATATTCCATACAAACAATGTTTGCACATTCCATTTGAATAAAATAAAAAACTAGTTATTTGAGATCTGCTGAGTCATTCAAGAAAAACAAACAAAACTGCATATATACACATTTATACATATGTATGTATATTGGGGACTCATTATGTACAAACGTGCAGGTAATTAAAAATCGTAACGCATTTAACGTTATTAACGTTAAAGCCTGCGTACTAAATCACAAAACAAACAAAACCCGCTAAACGTAAAACACGTAATCAATTAACTGTCCAATAAAGTCAATTTTTAATAGCGTTCCGAGAATGGGCTACTAGAATGGCGGGGTGGAGGAGCGTGCGGGTTAAACATAGGCAGCAATTCATAATCACAAATTGAGCATGAAAAGGCAATGCGGAATATTATCTCTGATTGCAAAGAATTATTATGCGACGTCACGCGACAACGGTATTTCATAGCAAGTTTTGCTGTTGTCTTTTTATTGTTGTTGTTTTTGTTTTAGCTGCTGCATTGACGGAAATTTCTGCATCGGACTGCATTATGATGTGCAGCTTAGAGGGGGGCGCAGGGGGGCATTTGCACAATGGTCTAAACTGGACTTGCATACGTTTTCATAAGAAGCAAACCGGTCTGGTGTGCTGTCTGTGTGCCAACAATCGACACCCGCACCTGAGCAGCAAGTATGGTGGTACAGGTACAAATATAGATGGCGGCATCTTATCAGTAACGTTCGTTTTCTTTGCCTTAGCTGCTGGCCATAAAATGACAACAACAGCACTGAGATGAATGCCAATGCAAGGCGTAAGAAAATTAGACGAGTCAACAATGTGACAACAACAACAACAACAACGACGACGACGAGAACGCAGACATCACTGCGCGTACATCAGATTTAAAATAATGAGAAAGAACAACAAAAAACACCGCACAACAACAAAGAGTTCTACTAACTGTTTCTGTATGATTATTTGCTTCGTCTGCTCTTTTGCTTTGTCTCAGAGACATTCCCGCTCCACCACGAAAAAAACGCGGCTGCTGTGCTTTTCTATTGTGACGTCACTGACGGCGACGACGCAAATACTCATACACACGCAAACACACACCTACACAGTGTTGAAATTTGCACGAAAAACAACAGAATAAGACGAAAATGAAAAGAATTAGCTGTGTCCAGCAGCAAAAGGCAACAATAAAAGCATGGAAATAGAGTGGAAACAATAATAGAATCGATAAAGCGCAATTACACCTGTGTTGGTGCATACTATTATTGTTTTTGTTCTAGAACCTTATGTGTACTCGTATGACCCATTTTTCCCTTCTTTTCTTATTGTCTGCAGAACTGCCAGTGCTGCACTCAGGTATTGAAGGTTAACACTTACCACGTTTGACTGCATCCTCGTAACTGATGCAAGCATGTTTGGATTCTTTTGTACCCATAATTGCCTGGGCGACGACGGCAAATTCTTGAGTGCTTCTGCTGGCGTCGTCGTCTTGTGACTTCACTTCTCACATTTGTTTATGTTATTTTCTACCGGGCCTTGAGGGCAAATCACAGACAGAGAGTCATGTACATGCAAAAGCAAGTTTTGAGTTATTTTATTTTTGAATAAACTTAGTTTTTTGTCACACTTTCATTGCTTTACTAGTTTCGCGTTCGCTTATATTTTTTAACTATCAGCGATCAGTGTGACCACGCTCGTGACATAAAAAATACTGTAACTTCGGGACATTAGAAATTTTATCAGCTGTTTTACTGATTTGCTACAAACAAGCAGCTGTTTAAATAGTAACCCCAGCGCGCTTAGCAACACTACTTATCGATAAATCGTTTCGTTTTTGTCCTACACAACACTGCGACATACCAATCATTTATTGTTCGGGCGTAATTAGAAAGCAATAATTAAGCGTAATTTTTACGTGTAACCAACAACAACACAGCACACAATTGCATGTGCAGTACGTACAATTGTAAGGCATCGCGCGTCCATTTACTATTGCCATTTAAAGTGCTTAAAACTACGTCGCCATTTTTCAACAAGGCCCGAATCGACACACACACAAAAGAAAACCAGAGTCAGAGCTGAAAAGAGAAAAAACTGTGCGTGGTTGCGTGTGTTTGTTTGTGTCTGCTGTGTGTGGTTACGTCTATGAATTTTTTATACATACCCATAGGTATATATAATAAATACCAACCCGCAGCAGCAGTTATAGTTATAGTAATTTAATCGCCGACATTAGCATAGTGTGTAATAATAATCAAGAACCACTGATTACCAACCACCGCCATATAACAAACGCAACAGCGACGACAGTAGTAGTTATCGACGTGGACGATAACACCAAAAAGGAACAGCATAAGTTAAAGAGCGAAGAGCTGCATCTTTAACGGGATACTGGCACAATAAGAAGCACAACTGTGATTTAATCATACAACAACAGAATACAATGGCCAAAACGTACGACTACCTGTTTAAATTGTTGCTGATCGGTGACTCGGGAGTTGGCAAAACATGCATACTGTTTCGATTCTCAGAGGATGCTTTCAACACGACGTTTATATCTACAATAGGTGAGTATATTATGCATAGCGTTATCAATATTTGTAATCTATGCACAACAGAGAGCTGACAACAACAAGCGCCAGCGATCCAAACATTTCAAAGTGCATGCATCATCAGTCATAGCCCACAGTCTGTCATCCTCAGTAATCAACATCGCGCGCTCTCTCTCTCTCTCTCTCGTTTTTTGCTCTTTCTCGGAAATTTTTTAATTAATTATGACGCCGCCGGGCAGCAATCGCAACCGCACAAACACTCACACACGCACACATATATGCGTATTCAGGTTCATGCTCTCAATCCCGTCTCTTGGCTCAGCTGTAAGCAGCATACACACACACACATGCATACAAATATGTGACTCATTTTGTATGCTCTTTTCTTGCTCTCAGTAATGCTATTTGTCATATTTTTTGTTGTTGTTGTTGTGCTGCGGACAAGGACGTGGTTCAAAAGGGAATAGCGACTAGACGAAACGAAAAAAGTAGTGACCAATCTAAGATATTGATAAATGCGTACAAATAGAAATGACAGCAACCATTCAAAAATACTTATCATAGAAGTTTTGATAACTAAGAATGCCTGATAAATACCGATCTAGGTGCATGTTCAACCCAATGTCATTGCACCCCATTCTACTGTTATTCAAGACTCACTTCATTTGCCTTCAAGTTCCCGGCTGATAAGCATTCGATTCACAGTAATGCTAAGATGGGTTCCATCAGTTTGAAGCAACATTGAGACACAACCCACACATATGTACATGGCACGAGCTCAGCAATTTGTCTATTTTTATATTTGGCACATTTCCCTGCACTAATTCCAATTTGGGTTATTTACTTAACGACGCCAACGTCTCGATTCAGTTGCGTATTTTCATCTGATGGCTCTGCGCTCTCTTTTGTCTCTTGCTCTATGCACATATACACAGGAGGAGCACGATAATTAGTCGCTAGCACAGGGGACCCCAGCTGCCAAAAATGATTTAGATTAATTTGTGGTTGTCTATGCTTATCACGTGTCTCCTCTCTTCTCTCTTCACGATTTTTTCGCAGGTATCGATTTTAAAATTAGAACGATTGAATTGGATAACAAGAAAATCAAATTGCAAATATGGTAAGTTATCAATTAAAACTGTTGAATATCGAATATGAATAATAAGATAAAACCATTTCAGGGACACTGCTGGCCAGGAGCGCTTTCGGACGATCACTACGGCATATTACAGAGGTGCCATGGGGATAATGCTGGTGTATGACATTACACAGGAGAAATCCTTTGAGAACATCAAAAATTGGATTCGAAATATCGAAGAGAATGCCGCCGCCGATGTTGAGAAAATGCTACTGGGCAATAAATGCGAACTGAACGATAAGCGACAGGTGAATGCCAAAAACAGTACAATGAAATCTTTAAACTTAAATTGCGATTTCTTTGTGCTATGCAGGTTTCAAAGGAACGTGGGGAACAACTGGCCATTGAGTATGGCATCAAATTCATGGAGACCTCCGCGAAAGCAAGCATTAATGTTGAAGAAGCTTTCCTCACGCTCGCCAGTGATATCAAAGCGAAAACGGAAAAGCGAATGGTAAGTGAATATATCCGATCCATTCACTGTTCATATGATTTGTTACAATTTGATCTTTCTCGTTTTGGTAGGAGGCGAACAACCCACCCAAGGGCGGTCATCAGCTGAAACTAACAGAGATTCGAACAAAGGACAGTTGGCTGTCCAGGTGCAGTCTGCTTTGACGTGGCAATGTGCGTGTGGCACTGATGCGGTATGGTGGTAATGATTATGATAATGTATGTGGTAGTAGTTTTCTTAACTCCTGTTAAGTCCCAACAACCAAGCGAGCAAACACCCCTGAATATGCAAGATAATGAAATAATATATAATTATAATAATATAAAAAAGTTCAGTTATAAAATTGTATATGCAATCGAGACATGTCTACAAGGTGTACGAAATATGCATATATTTATACATATATACATTCAATATTCATTTAATGTTAAAAACAAAATAACACACACGTCAACATTGTGAATTGCGAAAACTGAATATGAACGAAAAGAAACCATACAACCCGCCCAGCCCTGCCCTCCGCTCCGTTCCATTACAGAGTTTTCTATTTTCATTTTTAATGTATAATTTATAAATTTTCTGTAGCAAGAAATTAGCAGCCATGGTTGTTCACGATTTGTAAACCAATGACAAAATAATGAATTAGAAAATAAATATATGTATTTATATTTTATATATTTTTTTATATCGTTTGCTCTTCATTTATGCTCAGTTCTAATTATTTAATTTAATTGCTTCTACTTGTTCGTAGAACCCCTTGCATAGCCCTTAATCAGTTCGCAGAACGCAATCTAGACTCAGACGCACAATTTTATATATCGGTCCACTTAGATAATGCAAGTTCTAACTGTTGCGGGTGCTTAATAACATATACCACGGGGCGTTGTCAATAAACAGGCCGTTAATCTCTAATGAATATAATTAACATTTTGCGTGCGTAAAGGGAAAGTATAATAAACGATATGAGCATATGCAATACGAATAACAAATAAAATAAAAAAACAAAAAAAAAGAAAGAAATGCCGAGCAGTTAAAATACATATTGTGAAATTAATTGGTAACTAAATCGAAATGCATATTTGATATTAATTAATTAATTATGTATGTAATTGTAATATTAATTATTAAACGTATACAATTTTATAAAATAAATCATGTGCAAGAAAGCATTATTTATTATGTATTTACATTTCGAGTTCATCCAAAATGGACAGATCTGTTAGATTATACTATCCATATCCATAGCGTCCCTACTTACCTTTTATTCATTGCAGAATATCCAAGATAAAATATCTGAGTTGAGCTAAAATTAAGATAGTCATTTATTAAATGCATATATTTTAAAAATGCGCTTCATTACGTTGAAATCAGTACAGAAACCGATCAATTTTTTGCTTAAAAATAACATGAAATTGGACAACTTAAATGTAAATACAATTAATTGTTGGATTAGAACAATGTAGCTGAACAAAACACACACTTTCACATGTACACACACATAGATTAGGATACGTTTACATAATTTGACTCGAGACAGGGATTAGGATATGCGTCTCAGATACATACAAATTACTTGAACAACAAACACATTATATACAAATATGTGAATCGTGTGAAAACATAGGACGTGAAGGATATATATATATATATATATAGCTAAGCGAATTGCACTAATTGTTGTGCGGAACTGCCCTCCGTTGCATCAACGGGCTGTCGGTTACGCCTGCGGCAGATTTTGATAGTAGGTGGCGAGTATTTTCCAAGCCTGCGGCTCCATAAAGCCGTTGGGCGGACTGGCGCCGGTTTTAGCTAGTGTGCGCATTTTGGTGCCCGAAATGAACTCAAAGTCGTCCTTGCGTTGCGGCTCAAAGAAGGCCATGCGGCTGGCAGTCTTATCATAGGCGGCCACACGGAAGGGAAGTATCTAAATTGAATATGGATTATGTTTATGGAGTTAAATTTACAATTATTTTAGATAATCACCCACCTCCATGCTGTCCAATCCTTGGGCCATTTTCAGTACACGTGCGCCGTGAGTTGCATCGTAGAGATTGCCATCGGGATAGGCCTGCTTGTCCGGATGCGGCATGCCAGCTGGATCGCGTCCCACAATATAAAAGTTGGCGCCCGCATTCATGCGCGCCTTGGCATGCCACTGCACTTCCGTTGGACCAGCGTACATCATGGGCGATGGGAATATGGCCAGAACGGTGTCTTCGCGTCGCAGTACGCCCGCATCGAGCACGGCCTGATGCTGTGCCATGCGCACCTGCAGCGGCACATCATCGTCCTTGGTCCAGCCGCCAAGTGGATGGAGCAGCAGCACCGGCTGCTTGAAGCCGCGCTCCAGCAGCTGCCGCTTGGTGTCCTGCATCAGCAGCGCGTGACCGTTGTGAATGGGATTGCGCAGCTGAAAGGCAAAAATGGCATCCGCATTGAGCTCCTTGAACCGGCAGCGCAGCTCATTGGGCGTCAGCCGATACTGATCGAGTCCATCCTTCCAGCGTATGCGCTCGATGACCGCCAGCTCGCCACCGACCAGATACTCGCCGGACTCGTACACCTGTTTGCTATACGGATGATTCGGATTGCTCGTACCAAACTGACGTGCCAGACGCTCCTCCTTGCGCTGGTAATAGAACTCAGGGCGACGCAAAATGGCTACCGATTCACCCTCATGCTGCAACGTCAGGGCTGCCACGCCCTCCAGGCGCTGTTTGTCCGCCGCAGTGGCGCTCAGTACAATGGGCACCGAGTGGTTCTCGCGATAGGAAACGTCCAAGCCACTTTGCAGCGTGTTGAAATGCAGCGTCTGCAGATACTCGTCCTCGCGCATGAAGCCGCGCAGTGGATATGCCCAGCCCTCGGACAGCACCTGCACCCATTGCAGCTCCACTGTGCTAATTGACAGAGCTGGCAGCGACTCGGCCTCCTTACGCAGGGCCTGCACTTCGCTGGCCTCGCTCGGATACAGCTCTGGCAGCAGATCGACATCCCGCAGAGAGCGCGGTATGATGCCCTCCTGCTCCAGCAGGGCGACCAGCTTTTGCGTTGACTCGCGCACCGTGCAGTCATCCGTGCTGACCACCAATTCCGGATGCTGCGGCCGCTCATATTCCTGCGTGATGCCCGTGAAGCCCTTGATGACGCCCTCGCGCGCCTTTTTGTACAGACCCTTGACATCTCGTGTCTCGCACACGGACAACGGTGTATCCACGAAAATCTCGTAGAACTTGAGGCCGGCATCCTTATGTATCTTGCGCGCCATCTCGCGATCGTCCGCAAATGGCGACACAAAGCTGCAGATGGAGACGACGCCGCTGTCCGCAAACAGTTTGGCCACCTCACCCACGCGTCGTATATTCTCCTCGCGATCGGCGGGCGTAAAGCCCAGATTCTTGTTCAGGCCGGTGCGTATATTGTCGCCATCCAGTCCATAAGCGGGTATGCCCCTAGAGACCAGATACGCCTCCAGCTCAAAGGCAATCGATGTTTTGCCCGCGCCACTGAGACCTGCAAAACAAGCCAAAGAGTACAATTCGAATTAAACAACATCTTTGTATATAGTAGATAGAAAGGTCGGTCGTTATCATTTTCTATATCGTCGAATTGCCATTTAACGAACTCTTTCGCGAGATATTGTATACTAGCGGGTTTTATCTCAAAGATCGTTAAAAATGAGTTTGAAACCGATCGGACGGTAAACAAAAAACTTTCAAACAATCGTTTTCCGCCAATTTTCCATTGTTGGGGGTGAAATTTCCCAAATCGCTAAAACACGGATTCATTAAGTTCTTATGTACAGTTTTGAAAAGATTATTTAAGCAAATTGGATAAAACCTAAAACTGTCCCCAAAAAATCTTTAAATAGCATTTTTTCCGAGGAAGCTTGGACTTGAAACCACACTTGCGGGTGGAATTTCCCAGAACCTTCATTACATGAGGTAACTCCAGTGAAAATTCCTAGCTTCCTAGCTCTTACGGATTGGGCCTGTGCGTTGATCAATCAGTCAGTCAGTCATGAATATTGTAGAGTTTTCTAGATTGGAGGCAACTTATACTACTTTTATATTTCTCGTGCTCAAATTATAATATCTTTAAATCATCTTGAAATTGGAAGTCTGGAAATTGCATAGCAACCAAACATTTGTATCAGTTATTCAGGAATACGTTTCCATAATGTTAGACAGATGGGAGATATGTCTGTATACTTGAAAACTCTTAACAAGTTGTTCTAATTAATATATTTATTTAAGTGTAAATATGAGTGTAAAATTGAGTTGTCTCATAAATTACGAAAATGACATGACCCAGGTGCAAGAGCATTAAATCTTCGGTAGTTTTATTTAAGACACCTCATAAGCTCAACAATATTCTTGAGTATAATATCTTAAGTTTTCATTAAAGTTCTTATATGAATATCTTTAAATCATCTTTGAAATTGAAAGTCTGAAAATTGCATGACAACCAAACATTTTTTGGATTTCCATAATGTGAGACAGATGGGAGATATGTCTGTATACTTAAGAACTCTTAACAAGTTGTTTAAATAAATATATTTATTTAAGTGTAAATCTTTTGAAAATTGAGTTGTGTCTTAAAGCACGAATATGACATGAGCCAGGTGCAAAGAGCATTAAATCTTCTTTAAATTAACAAACCCCAAAAGCTCAACAATATTCTTGAGTATAATGTCTTAAGTTTTTATTAACGTTCTTATAGTATGTATCTCCTTGTCTATTTCTGTCGATGATATGGTACGTTCTCTTTCCTAATTCTTCTCTGTCTCTATTTGCCAACCGATCAGAGTTTTGAAAGGTTTTGCTCACCTGTTAGCCAGACGGTGCAGCCTCTAAAGCCGCGGCACAGGCCCAGGTTTCTGCCGCGCGTCTCCCGGGTGACATGATGCTTCTGTTCGGTCACATTCGTTGCGACCTGGAGGCACTGCAAAAGAGCGAATGAGAATTAGTTATATGCTTTCACATAAGCACGTATTTGGCTGCGGGCTTTTATTTCCCAAAAAATTAACATAAATTAATATTCATGCCGCCTCCGGCTGGGTCGTTTTGACCCTAAGGCGGCGTTGCGGCCATTCAATTCGCTGAATCTGCACAGTTTGTTGACCCTTTCTTTAGACGGGCAAGCGGCCAACTCGTGTGTGAAAAATCGCAAATGTTCTTGCGCTGAGGGAATATGAGATAATGATACCACATATACATATGTGCTCCAATAGATAGATGGGCTCACATCAGACCAGAGGCAGAAATAGAGTCAAATGCAAAAGAAATACATCTGCCTGCGATCTGATTGCGACTTCATTATTCATTATTATTAATAACTACTTCACACTGACAAAGGATAAATGGGGCACAAGGAAGTTGTTAATTGTTAGCCAAGTCCAGATTTATTCATCAGGAACTTCTTGGGGCAATTCCTGGATCGAAACCCTGAAATTGATTATCAGCAGAAGACACAGCGAAGTTTCGAATTCGTTTGCCTTCTACAGGGTAAACAATTGTCGAGCTTTATTTGCACGCGATTCTAGATCGTTTCTAGCCAATTAATTTGGGTCAAGGAACACTTCAACACTTGATTTCAGATCACAAAGCACTTTGAACGTTCCATGGCCTAGAATGGATTGCGCATGCGCAGATCTCTCAGGTCGTACCCTTC